CTGTTCTACGAGCGGAGATGATTCTAGAAAGATATGCGGAAGATTATACTAATCAATACACGACTGGAAAGAGCGCATCCCAGTTAGTGCAGTGCAGTACAGTGCTCAACAAAAAAAACTATGAAATATGTAAATCAACATATGATACCCTTCCCTGATAAACAGAAACTCATCACGTGCTAGGCAACCAATGTCTCGAGAGAATGTAACTGGATTATTACGCCGACTTCAGGATTTTTTTTCAGATTAAAATAGAAATTATTTATCTCTTCAAAATAATAAAAAAACATGGAAACGTCTTTAAAACCTGGCTTTGCCCAAATTTTCTCTTGCTGCCCAAAAAATCTGAGTTGCCCAAAATTTGGGGGGGCTGCAGACCCCCTCGCCCCCCCGGCCCGTACGCCTATGAAAGTTGTGAATAAACAAATGACCAGTATTTGGATTTTAATAGGAAAAGACCGTATCCAAGGGTATCACTATCTTTAAGCCATAGGTTAACTCTATACCGGAGACCTTTTGTGCAGGCACAAAAAGCATACTGGATAGGGCGCCTCTTCACGCATAAGAAAGGTGATTTCGAAACGACTTCTGTAACCGTGGAGCAAAGCTGCGACGCGCCGATTTCTAAAGAGGAGAGTCACATATCGGATAGGATTTTTGGTCCTTTTAAGACAATTCCGGATTATTTCCGAAGATTTCCGAAGGCTACCGAAGATCCCCGAAGAATGCCGACGATTTCTGAAGAGGAACTGAGAGGTCCGACTATTTCCGAAGATCTCCGAAGAACCCTCCAAACACTTAACAGTATTTTCTTCCGAAACAGTAAACATTAAAAATTGGCCAATTTAACAGCTAACAGTAAACATCATGGGCAAATAACACTAAACACTAAACCCCATTCACACCATCTTTATGGATCGGAGATGTAGTATCTTCGAACTGGTCGATTCACGCTACATTTATAGAGAGGAAAGCGCTAGTTTGATGAGCCAAACTAAAAGCAAAGGGCACACATACACCAACCCACGGCCTGGCCAGTACCCTAGGCATGTGCACAGCCATGTCACCCGGGCAGTGGGAGCCATGGAAAGCTGTTTCGACCTTACTGGGGCTCATCAGCATGGCAGCCTGATGAGCCACTTTGCTCATAACATTTACCTCTCCACCTTACAAATCAAGACGTAGTGGTCTTCTCACCGTTCTACCTGACGACGTGAGCAAAGCTAGCAAAGCATACAACAGATGTAAAGCGTGCGTGCATAAAATTAAGCTATGTGACGGAAAACCTCGTTCCCAGGTCTCCGAGAAGTTGTACGGGGTTGGGTAAATGAAGTGTAACGCGACGAGAGCTCAGGAGGGTCCACTAAAGATCGCTGATAAGATACGTTCCCTGAAGCGAAGGAAAATTGACGAAATTTACTTCTTCTCGGTATTCAGACTGGTGATAAATAAGCCAAACCACCGTTTTTTGTCGCTCATTCTCGGCTTTGCCGTCACTGTTGCAGTTTGGCCGAGGGAGTTTGTCTCTCGTCGCGATTTCATTTACGTTCTGTCGCTTGTCGGAATTTACCTTAGCAGGGCCTCGATACTGCCCGCTGCTGAGAGATTGTCCGAAAAATAAACATGTGCCCGAGAAGCGAAGCATTATCAGCCGATATACCAGCAAGCCAAAAAGGGGTTTATTCTCTATTATAATCTTCTGATTAATTTTTTACATAACATATTGAGAGAGAAAGAAAAACAAAAACAAGAGGTGAGCGCGCCCGCGAATGACACAGACAAGCCCTTTGATCGGTTGATTTTTTTTTGAAACTGTGATTGGACTAGGGCTTGACGGGCTGTCATGTCAAATGAACTCTCGCAACGCCCCATAGATCAAAACTGTATTCAAGTTTCTGTTCCTGTTCAAGTGCATAAATATTTATAAGCCTAAATTCATAAATTTTGATCATCTTCGATTCATAGCTTATTTTATTGATTTCTCTCCAGAACTGTTAGTTGCGAACAGCTCAAAATTTTAGTGAAATTGGATTATACAAAACAAGTTTGTTCTTACTGCTTTCATTTCAGTTATTAAAGAAGATAAAAACTGAAAAGAGACTCACTTTGTTGACTTTGTTATATGCTTTCTTGGCACTGAAAATCGACACGGACGGGGTGGGTGTGGTACCACGTGACCCAAAATGGCCAATAAAATCGCACAAAAATTAACCAGTGGATTATAACAGGAAATATTTTCAGATACTACATTCTACGCAGTGTTTAACAAATGACTGAACTGTCGTAAAAGATGCAGTCGTAATGATATTCTTCCCGTGAATACGTTGACAGTTGGACGTTACAAGACAAAGATCAAACGACTCGAGAATCGGGCTAAAATGACCTTTGGACTCGTCTTTTACAGCAGATTTTAAGGTAAGAACATTTCAAAACGGTTTTCTATCTTCTTATTTAACCCACTGTGGCATTATACAAACGAAGGCAGTGCGAAAGGACTATTAAAAAAATTTATGTCCGACTCGCAACTTCAAAGTTGACCGTGGAAGGTCAAATATCTGCATTTTTAACAGATTGTGTAAATAAGCTCTTGCGTGGCTATATTAATCATTTGCCCAAAGAAAGAAATTTTTACAGGAACCTGTAGACCATCCTTCTAACATTCAACCGCTAGCAGCTTAATCGATTCGAAGGTTTCTCACATGGTCAAAATTATGTTTCTTTTGTCACGCATTAAGTAATTGTATGCCTTCGAAATGCATACAAAGAACAGAGAAGTACAGTACTGTATACAGATACAGATACAGTATTGTATCTCCACAAATCCTTCTAATAGATATTTAGAAGTTGTAGAAGAAGGCTGTGATGTTTTAAAGACGGCAGAGTAATCGTTT